ATATTTGCCCAAATTAATGTAGGGCAAACCTTACCTGAGCTCCTGGATTAGAGAATCCATTGGCACTGTTGAAAAAAAAAAATCAGTTTATAATTTTGAAAACTATGATTGAAACTTTTCAGCCATCTAGAGATAATGATCAATAAATGGTTAGTACAGACTCCACTTAATTTCCCACAGGATGGATTAATCTTTTCTGGTTCTGGTTCTTTGGACAAATGAATATGGCCCAGAACAGATAATTCTAGATGTAGTGCCTTAGGTGACCTTGGGAACTTGACGTCATGAATTGGACTTTCCAAATGTCTGTCTTTAGAGATTCATTAAACAATTACAGGAGCACAAAGGACTTGAATTATTTTCTTTTAAATCAACTTAACTAATTTTATTGTTCATAGAAAAATTTTCAAAAGAATCCTATTTACATTTTTGTTGACATTAAACAAATTTATAAATAAAAGCAGCAAAATTTTTACGAATAAATATGCCCCAAGATTTTGTTCCATAAACTTTACTCACAGAGAAAGAGAAGATTAAGCTTTACCCATGTTAATATCAACATCATTTGTAAAATAAGACATTTATAGAAAAAAGAGCTTTGATTTTTCTGACTGAAATGATGGGAACTAAAGAAGTTCATGTTTATAAATACCTGCCTACACAAGGATAAGCAGCATATTGAGAGAGACAACACGTGGTTTTGAAGATTACTCATGCTACATGAGAAACAGTTGTTTCATTTCTTGGAGAACATTTTGGCTCTATTTAAGAGTGTATATGTATGTGCCAAAAGAATTCGAAGTCCAAAAAGAATTGCAAATTAAAGAGCCACATTTTAAAAGTATGCTAGAGTAATGTGTTTTTAGGAATCTAAACAAGAGATTCAAATAATCCAAATACAGTCCCTAGAACGCTAATATTTATGGCATGTGAGCTTATCCTAAATAATGGTAAACTGTTTTTCTTAAACTTGTATTCTATTGAAAACGTTGCTGAATAAAAACCTAATGTTTAGGAATAACTGCATTCCAAATATTAGACTATCCAATGCAATTACTTTAAAAGTTACTTAAACTAAAACTGGAAAATAATATAGTGAAACATTTCTGTTTAGGTAAAGCTCCATATCTTGCACAGTATTATTCTGCATTTTGGTTATCATGGTTAATAATAACCATGGCTACATTTTAACTGAAAAAAGTCATCCTGGAATTTATTGAAAATTTTAGAATTCTGGACTTTACTCAAACAGGAATTATTTACCTTGACTACATATATAAGCATGGTTAACTAAAGCATTCCATTTGATTCCACCTGTAAATCTCAAAACATTTCCAAAATATTGTACAATTGCTACCTGATTCAGCTCCTCTCAGCAACGCTGACCGTGAGAAGACTGAGATGAGGAACAGTTACCTAGAGTGTTTTCAGAGGCCACAGTGAATCTACAGTTTTCCATTTAGAATTAAGGGTCACAAAAATATAGCTAATTATAATAAACGTTATTTTCCTTAAGGGGCATTATTGCCAGTCAATCCTGTTTTCCAGATGTTTAGATCATCAAGGGCCTGTTTATATTTCAATATTACATTACCATCTGTTGGTTACAAAAAGGGAGGGATAACCGGCAAGTTAAACCTTTCAAACATTTCTTTTCAGAGCTGCTGGAAATTCCCAGCAGGGATAGTTAAAAAACAAACATCATCATTTTACTTGAACTAAGTTTAGATTGGGAGCCACTAAACCAGATAACATAAAAATCAAAACCTGCTTTGGCAATAAACTAACAATTTGGTCTTTTCCCTTGGCCATTAAAGGTCACTTCAAAAATTTGAAGGTCTACATGAAGCATTCTTCCCTCACTGACCCTTATGTTGTTTTGCATGATGTTCAAGTCTATCATGATTGCATTTTGTAAAGATTAGCGTCATACATCATTTGGACTTTTCTGAGTCCTTTACATCCTGGTTCATATTTTGCCTCGCAATGCCATGATCCAATGTTCTAGCTTGATTAAGAAAAGGAAGCCCTGAGGACGTTGTAATCATTCTGACTACACATCAGGGACTGAGCACTGGAACTCCCGTATTTCATGGTGTGGTGGGCACAGTGTCATGGAACCTGCTTGCTAACTCACCCTTAGTTCCTTTAGAGCGGGCACACAGCATCTTATCTTCAGCCTCTGCATCCATCTGTAACATGAACACAAATCCTGAGGTCATTCCTTTGACATTGACAAAAATATAAAAACATGTCATTAAAAATCCTGAAGGTCATTATGAAAAATGCAGTAGCCTCTCGTGCTCTTGAATAGCATTCTGACTCTGCAGGGATATAACTGTGACTACCTTCACACTCCATGAGTTTTGGGAAATACTTCTATAGATGCTAGAACCAGAGGAAACAGTGACAATAGGGCAACTGTCCTTTTCCATAAGTATTTGCTAGTGATTCAAACATTTCCAGCATTACAAATATAGAATTAAGAGTTGTCTGATTAATGGTGTTTGTGAAGGAGACACCTCAAATGCCAAACCAAAAGGTTTCGGACTGGTTTACTAAAGCCCAATTCCTTTGCATTTCTAGATCCTTTATGATACATGCCTCTTACTAAGTCAGAAAAAATAATTCCCTGTGTAAAAGTGCAACATGAAGGCAAAATGCTGAAATGCCCCCATTTCATAACACCATTGGAAGTGTTGATCCTCAACAATATACACTAACTCTCAGAATTCCAGAATAAATATTGGTTATCATCATTTAAATCTATAAGGAAGGTGAGATTTGAGTGTTGTGTGTGTCTGTAGCAAATTTCTTAAAACACCATTATTAAATATTTTAAATGTAATCAAATAAATTATCAAAGGGGTGCAAAGACTTTAAAAACCTATTGTTTTTGTCCACATGGAGAAAGATTCTGATCTGAATACACTCATCTATTTCACTAGAATCTCCTAATAATCTCTTAGTTTAATTCACTTTTACACGTTATTAGAAGGAATTCTTAAATAGAAAGTAGTTGAAAACCAGGGGCAGGCAGAAGGCGCTCTCCGTGGATCTCATCCTTAAATCTTGATACTAGCGTGGATGCTGCGCCACTGCAATGGTAACGGGAGATGCATGTCTGCTCTCGGAGGCTGAGTTGTTATTGAAGGCACTGACCTGCCATAGACTTATAATAGGGGAGCAGGTGTGGCAATGATGGACTTTAATTTCCTTTAATAAACCTTTTATGTGCCACACTTTTACTGCCATTTGACGCTCTCCAAGGTCCTGCACATAATAGGTTCATTACTTTTGATTACTATAGTCTATTGAGACAAACAACTCCAGAACACACTATATATTATGTTCAGTTAAACCAATATAGACTATTTATCCATTGTGCATTTTTTCACCTGCAACACTACAGACAAAATTAACGACAGCCTTCATAAGCTAAAACTGTTAAAACCACCAGTACTCTTTTGTCATCATTTCATAATAAACACCATACCAATCATTGAACTGTTTTTTTTAAATTAGCAAACAAAAAGCGTTCACTGCTTTTGCTGAACAGCAGTTGCTTTAGTCTAAATAAAGTGGTTCATTGTTATGAATATTTTACAATTAAGAGAAAACAACGATAAAAGAGAGGTAATTTTTTTTCCCTGTAGATTTTCCTCTTTTAAAACCACATGAATTTATGAGAAAATGTGACTCCGCCTAGGATTAAAACAGCTTGGTTTGCTCAGGTTGGTGAGCACTGCGTTGTAAAATCCTCCTTCTCTGTGAATATCTCTGTTGCATATAAAGTGGTTCAACTTATGCAAACTCCTCTCCATGTGCTAAACGAATAACTTGATTAGTAGCATGAGGGTTAAAATGATGAAAACCATCAACTATTTCTGGGGAAGCTATTCCCGTGGGTGAGCATCAACTCAACTAGAGTCTAATGTTATCCTGTGCTCAGGTGCTACTGGCTCTCCTAACCACTCTGAAAAATTCCCTCAAAAGGCAAGTGAATGTTGAGCTCCATGAGTTTCTTTACCAAAAATGAAGCACACCCTGCAGAGTACCAGTAGGCAGAAATAGAAGTTCCAGAAAGCTACCTAAATGTAACCTTCTTTATAAGAGCTTTAAGACTAATTCTATTTTGCAATTCAGATACCCAAGGACCTGACCATTCTGCCATCAGCCCAGGCAGCCACCTTCCCATTAAAGCCATTGGAACAGATGCATAAATATTCATGGACCTCTGTTTGTGTTTGGAATGCTGGCCTCATAATTGTATTTTGTGAAGCTACTGTCCTCTTGTTGGTGTAGCATATATGTCTTATATAAATATTGTAAAAGCTGATACTCATTTATAAAACTAAGTTTTTGGATTTAACTTGTGGGCCAAGTTGTAGGAGCAAAATGGAACAAGGCCATAATATACAACTTATCTATGTCACCCTCCTTCTCTCCCTCACACCTGAAGAATAACAAAAGTTATGAAGTTAGTGTCTGGTCATGTCTTATAGCTTGTTGGGAAATAACATCAGAAACTTAAAGCACATGTGCCTTTCTTTTGGAGGGTGAAAGGTTTTAGCATTTATGAAATGGCTTGCTCTCTTCATGGATCTCAAATTGAAATCTTTGTCCTCTAAAACCTTGAATGTCCTCGAAAACTGTTCATTTGAATTATTCTCATGAACTTCAATAAATTGCCAATGGTAGACTTAATTTTTATAAAAATCAAACTTCACATTCAGTGGGTACCTCATTTGGGTAATAGTTAATCAAGGGTAGAAAGAGATTTCTACTTCAGTACATGTATTAAGACCTGGGGGTGAGGTGGGGATCACCATCCTTTCAAATGTTCCTGGGGTTGTAGAAGAGTCACACAATTATGGTATGAGTCATGACATCGACATAAATAGCATGTGCTGCAATCTTTAACACTATACTTGTCATTGGAACACTGCTTTTTTCTATTGGAAAAGGAAACTTGATCATCTTTACTGTGTAAGTCCCAAATGATCTTGTAAGTCTGCGTTTGATTTTGTAAAATTTAATGAGTTATTTCTTTTCTCAAAACAGAAATACAATTTTCTAAAACAGTTGTCCTTATCCAGGTTTTTAGGGCCTTTATCTACCTCCACTGTTTATGGACGGGAACAAGACATTTTCTAAGATTCCTATAATGGCTCCTCCTGGCTCTGACAACTTACTTCTTAATAGAGATAAGAATATTAAAGGTACATTTTACCACTCTTATTTTTCCTGATCTGAAACTACATTAAGGAAAGTTTATTTAACTTATGAGTATAGATATGTTATATATAATATTTATTTAAAAAGGAAAAAAAGTGTTTCTTGCTTGGTATGTAATTCATAATAAAGCCATGAAGAAAACTTTAAACACACTTTATGCCCTAGTTCTCTAGAGAGAGGAGTCAATACTCTCCCAGGTGAATGACAAGAGGGAATGAAAATTATAAAATAAAGAAGGCAAGAAGCAAAACTTGGAGGAAAAACATGCAAGAACAAACAATGAAAGTAAGTAGATAGACCGTGAAGAGGAAAAATGACCATAAAATAAAATTTAACTACTTAGTTGAATTTGGAAAGTTCTCATTTAAGATCTTGATATACTTATAAACATATATCAGGTGAACACAGTAATTTCCTAGTTACTTGTACTTGACCAACTTTTCTTACTAGTGCTTATGTAAGGGGAAATCATCAGATCCCCTGTCCACATCACTCCCATGCACACATCTGGTGCCTTTTCTTGGGCTCAAGAGAGAGTTCTGGAATTGCCACTTTGTGGGAGGGAGAGATTCAAAGAGCAGGATGCAGAATTCATAAATTCAGTTTAGCTTTTATTCACACAGGTAAATTACTGGTATGGGAGGAGATTTAGTTCCTTTGATTTTATTTTTCACTCATAATCCTATTTTAACTTAAATGGTAACAAAAATATCCCAGTATATATTTAATTACTTCTTAAGACCTGGATAAAGCAAATCTCTTGGAAATGTTTAAGTTTTATTTCTCCTTCAACAGAAACTAATCATGAACATCTTTATTATTTTTTTATAAGAAGTCTTGAGTTTCTTAATAGAAGAAAAAGCCATAGTTATCATAATGTTTTGAGAACATTTTCTCAAAATTCTTATACAGTCAATGTTAATACTATCTGGATATATATAGTCTCATGCAGGTAGCTACTTTAAATTTGAAAAGTTCTTCATATACATTCAACTTGCAATAATTTCCACTTTTAGCAAGAATTTATTGTGTTCCTCTCCTGAGATATTTGAACTAACAATGCAGTTTTGTATGTTGTGCCACCTTAATCTCGTACAATGTCATTTCAATCCTGGGGAACTCACTGCAATGGTGAGAGGAAGTTCTATGGCTACCAAGAAGAGGTTCCAGGTCCTCTCTGTGATGAGCCCTTAACTCTCTGTGGAAGCTTTCTTCACAAAGATCAATTTTTTAAAAATGACAAAGACTCAGGAAGTTGGAAAGAGCTAAACCCAGAAAATGAAACAATTAGATGATGCCAGAACTTTGGAATGAAATGTGGCTGGATTAAAGAACAAAGAACTCTATATTGAGTGTCGTTTCTTTTGATAATCCTGGCATTATTTTGTTTAAACATGGCTTTTGATCAGACCAGAAGAGCAGCAAAAAAGTTTCCCTGTTACACAAGGAAAAGATGGGGAAAATGAGTTGTGACACTAAAAGACTAGTTGACTTATTGAGAGAAATACTAAGATAATGTTCAAGTATGTTTTTTTCTGTTTTTACCCTCTTTTTACTTTTTTGGCTTTTCATATATTTATTAATCACTCAGGAAGAGTAATTCAGAAAATAAACATTAAAAAAAATCTAAACTAATATAAAATGTTTTTTTATATTATCCATGACAACATATGTATAATTTTCTGAACCTTTTCTGAATCCTTTATCCTAAATAAAATGAAAAAATTCTGAATCTTTAATTTAGGGCATACTATCCCTGATTTCAACTCTGTTCCTGTTTGTTATTATACTGTCTTTGACTCTGTATAGAAAGCTGAAAAGTGCATGATCTGTACCCTTTAAATTTATGATACTCCCCTTGTTTCCCCTAATTCCTCCCACCCCCAACAAACACTGCACCTAAAGGAAGAAGTAGATTCAATCCGCTATCAGATTAAGTACAGTTCTCTGGGAA